GAAATCAGCTCAACCAGTCAGTCAGTCAGTCAGTCAATCAATCAACCAATTAGCCAAATGAATCAATGAACCAATCAAACCAAATCGAAGCAAATCAAACAAATCAGTCAGTCAATCAATGAGTCCGTCAGTCAGTCAGGCTGGCAGTCCGGCAGTCAGGCAGGCAGTCAACCAATCACTCAAAAAATCAGTCAATCAATCAGTCAGTCCGTCAATCAATCAATCAATCATTCAATCAATCAGTCAATCAGTCAATGAAACAATCAGACAATCAATCAATGAAGCAATGTCAGCAACCAATGCAATCACCTCATCATGTGTATTTGCGCATTTTCCGGTTGCAATCAGGAATATAGAGGCCTAATCAGTGAAGAAGGTCGCGGAAGGTAGGCTTGCAACTGTTGCATGCTTACCTCGAACTCTCGCAGTGACAAGGAAAGGGCCACATGACTTTCTGTCTTTCTGAAGAAAGCGGCTGCCAGGATGTCTCACAGGCAATCCCTGGGGCTCTGGACCCATAGTGCATCAGGACACATCCAGGCCGAGCCACATCCCAGCCAAATACTTCGACGTCGGCACCTGCAAAGCATAGAGAAGCATGCTACCTCTGCAATGTCGTCGCAGCTGCAGCTTCGGCAAAGAAGTACAATTGATCCTTGCTTACCTTACTTTGCTGCAGCTGCTGCGACCCTCATGTCACAGCCTGTATGTGCGCTTAGACACCGGTTGGCAGAAGCATCATTGCGAAAGGCTCTGGGCGCCAGTGAAGAAGGCAAGCACTACCAATAATACAAGCAGCTTTTTCGGTGCCTCGTCGCAGAGAACTTACTGCTGCAGCGCCCAACGACGGGCCCTCGCGCACTGCCACACGTTCGGCGACCACCTCACCCCAGACCCAGCCGACCGCTTAGCCAGTGCCTTTACACAAGAGGGCGAAGCAGAAGAGAGCCACGCAGAATACCAAGACACATGATACCATGCGCCATGGCCCAGTGCTTCGATGGAAGCGTCCTCACCAGAAGCTAGTCGGTGCGAATGGTGTTGAACTGACAGAAAGTCGATTTCAGGAAGCTACCGTACTAAGGCATTCTGCGGCTGTGCCACGCTTCTGGCGCAAGTGCTGTCCGGAAGTTTTCGCTTGCTACCCCCGTGTGTTTCTCTGCCAGCAGCACTTTGCTGCATCCCATCCCTGCTTGCCTCTGTGACGGGCCGGAACATGCTAGGCACCTGGCGGCAAAGTCACGGGGAAAGTACGATCATAGATGTGCCATGATCAGAGATCGAAATGATGCAACTCTCCTTCTAAACCCGAGCATCCACACAGCTTGCTCTAAGCATATGTACATTTCTAACCCAAGCTTGGGTTATTGCGAGCAACGGCCTTGAGAGTGCCCAACCGCGTCTGGGGCTCGGCGATCTGCTTGTCCTTAGCAAACCCAGTTCCTCATGCACTTCCTGAGTTCTGCGGCCCTGCCTCATCCTCGGAATCCTCGCGAGGTGGTGCCGAAGGCAGCACCTGTGTCAGGAAACGCACGACCAAGTCCTCATCCAAGCATCGTCTTGCGGCCTTGAGAACCTGGATTCCACCGATGTGAACCTGAGCAGCAAGTGCACGTTCTCCGAGCTCCGGGCGGTCTGAAGAGCGCTTCCGAGATCCGAGCTGGAAGGTATCCTCGGCAGAAGCAAAAACTGCAGCCACTCGCTGCTTTTCCCCGGCTGCCTCTTTGTGCAGCCAAGCTGCTCCCGGCCTTTACCTTGAGCCACTGGCCATCCTCGTCCAGGACACCCCAGACGACGCTTCCCCACCGGGCCGACTTCAAAGCCTGCGAGTGCGGCACCACATCGGTTCTGCCGGTCTTCTGGAATTTCCGCCTGGTTCTTGTCCACGAGGTCTCGAGCGCTGCGATATCGCAGCCCGGCGCTGTGCGAGGCGAGGAGGCCTCAATTTACGATTCCGGCTCTCTGCGTTGTGATTCTGAGTCGTTTTGGACAGGTGGCTGTTGTCCACCAGGAAGGGCTCCAGCTGCCGTTTTGGCAGGCTCTCGATGGGAATCCCAGCCTTGGCCGGTGCTTGGGGCCCAAAAAGGTCCCGACTCTCTTGGCCCTGGGTTCTCGTTTAGGGCCCCGCCAGGACCAGACCTTCACCTTTGTCCTCTTGCTGCTTCTTTGCCCAGGCAGCGAACCGCGACATCGGGACCGCCAAAGACTCGGGAATCTAATGCTTGCACAATAGATCATGTCGTGGGGGCTACAGTTGGTAGTCAGCTTAGCTTTCGTGTGAACCCTCGCGACCTGAGAGACGCATTGCAAACCTTTCAGATTTCGGGCCTGCTTCGTTCTTATTCTGTGGGGTCGGCGGCCATGCGGGTCGAATTGCGGACTGTTCCGGTGACCCCACGGCAGTATGGATTACTGGAGCCATGGCAGAAGCAAAGAGCAGCAACGCTTACGCAAGATCTGACTCCAGACCGCCGACGACTATGCTGCCAAAAGACTGAGACACACTGCAGATCTTCACGAAACTTGCATGTCCCAGCCTGATCGTCTCATCATCGTCAAGCAAAGCTCGACGGCGCAAGCCGTACACGATCTTTCGCTGCGTGTCCATGACCTCATGCGTGAGTCAGGTCCCAAGTTCGGCACAGCTTAGGCCAGGTGCAGTCTTAAATCAAAAGCGCCTTCCCTCAAGCTGAGCTTGTTGCGTCATCGTACTCGAAGACATTCTTGCGCACACTGTAGAAATAGTTTTCGACCTGCGACTCTTACACTACCACGACTTTGCTGCTGCTCCTCGCTCTAATCCCTCTCCCGGACTCCCAACTGTTCAAACATCCGGGTGCCTGGATCGGGGTCTCGTTGAGTCTCAAGCCCTCAACTTCACTCAACTTCAATTCATTGAAATCCTGAAAGCGCCAACCCGAAATGAACCGAACGCAGGCTGCAGGCGCCGAGGGGTTGGTGCTTCGGGTCTGAGGGTTCAGGGCGAATCCGTGGGGTTGGGGGTTTTAGCGGTTAAGGCCTGTAACAAAGCCAAAGCCAGCCTCGACTAGCCTAGGTATTGACGAATGACCCCACAGCCTGAAGTGTTGCTGATGAGCCACGGAGATAATATATAAGGTGCACTGGAGTCGGTTTGGAGTCACAGCCATGACATGCCATGACTTTCATGCACGCAGATCCCTTCTCCCCGGACTTCCTAAGAAGAAGCCTAATAGTAAACACCCCTCGTAGGACGGCCAAGTGATCTTGTAGAACTTATTAAAGCTGCTACTGTAGTCGGTCTGCTGCACCGCACCGCGAACAAATCTTTCCTTGGTTCTGTGTACTTTCATGAAACGCAGGGCACAGGTCCCTCTATACGGTAGAATTCAGAGAGCCCCACAGCAAAACCACAAGCCAACGTCTCTTTTCGCCACAAGCCGAAGCTACGCCGGTCGAGGGCAACCTCAGAGAGATCGCACAGCAAGCAAGTTCTAGGACCCGCTCTGCTGGCATCGCGCAAGCGGCTGCGAGCGGCTGGGTTGCGGGCAGCTCCTCATCGCGAGCGGGATCTCGCGCGGCGACGGCGGAGACCGTCCACTGGCGAGCCCGAGCGGGGCGAGCGCGAGGGCGCGTGGCCACGTCGCATGGTAGGCGGCTGAAACTCCAACACATCCGAATCATCCCCTTGTCAGGGATGGCTGGCGGTTCAGACGTGAAGTCTTGAGGCCCTACATTTGGCGAAAGGATCACCTGGTCACACTGGTCACATGTGCGGCGCTTCTGTGCATGTTTGTTGCACTGCAGTTGCAACACTTCCGGTGCTTTCTGCTACGCTCACTGGGACTTGTGGCTTTAGACTAGAAATCCTGCTTCATGACAACGCCTTGTTTGGAATTCAGCACTTCATGTCAAGCACTACATGTTGACGTAAAACCCCTGCCACTGCACCCACGCGAAGGGGACTTGTGCTCAGTGCTCGGTGTCCATCTGAAAAGCTGGACCCCCGCACTCCCGGAAGCGCCTTCGTCGAAGGGACCGTGTCGATCGGTCTGGTGGTCTCTCTCGGTCCGCGGCACTGCTGGGGGTCGCGGTGTCCGTGTCAGCATCCTGGGACGGACACAGCGCTTTCCTTGACCAAGTTTCTAGGGCCACCTTGGTTGGAATTATGGCTTGATCTGGGACCGACACCCGAAATTCCCCATTGTCGTCGCTAGTCCGCTCCGATGCAACAAAGAGCTGAAAATCTGGTTTGCCGCTGTCGAGACGGTACTAGAATTGGCAGTCTCTTGGCTTCTCCAGCAGCAATCCGGATTTGCCACTGCCAGAGAGTGGCGAGGGGGCAGGGAGGGAGTAGCAGTGGGGTCTCCGGGAGCTCTGCCAGGAGCTTTGCCTCTTGGAGGCGATCGATTAATCGGAAATCGCCCTTGAACTTTCTCCAGAGCTGTACATGACTTTTAATGCCTCCGCCTGTCAACCTGAAAGCGATCCGCTCAAGGGCCACATCACAGAGCAGGTCCTCTTGAAAACCTGCAGGTTGACGTCGGGGGGCACCACTGTAGGTAGCTTCATCGGCTTCTCATGATTATAGTGCTGTCGAATCGTCGAAAAGATACGAGGCGCACAAAGCACCGCAGTGGCCCAAGCCTGGCTGAGCCTAAGTGGACCCAGCCTGTGACATCAGACATCGCTCAGCCCAACCCCTGCAGACTCAGACCTGCTCTGGACAGGACGTGAGAACTGCCGTGAACGGGTGGCAGGAGTGGACCGCCTCCCAAAATATTGGATAAAATCTGGATCGCAAATGTAGCCTCGTGACGTCAGTCTGAACCTGTCCCGAAACCCTCTACAAAGAAGCAGTGCTACAACTTGAGCTACATGCATTAAGCCAGCTACGTATGTTAAACTCGTTCCTCGCCAATAGTCTTCCGTCACGCGCCAGTAGGCTACATGTGCGGAGCAACAATGACAGGAGCTTTCAACGAGCTCGGCCAAGGCAAGCAGTACTTCTTTGCCCTCGGCTACGCGGCGCCAAGCGCCTCGAGCTCAGACCTTGCGCTCGCTAGCCTCAGGTGTCAGTGTCATGCGGTCACAGCTTTGGCTCCGCAATGCAGTGGCCAGGTCGGCCATGGCGCTTCGTGTCTCTGCTGCCTGGCGGCTCAAACCGTCTGTCGCCTTCAACTCCGCACCTGCAGTCTTGGGAGCTTCAACGGCCATCAACGCCCTAAGGCCCCAAGTGCCAAGACAAGCCGAAGCTGCACTCTGGGGAGGACTTCCTGGAGCTCTTGCAGCTGGTTCGTCAGATCCTGCGAGCAAAGGTCAAGCCTCTCGTGAACTTCGGGTCGAAACCCCTGCCTCGATGGTGGGTTCGTCCTGCAACTTGATGATCCGATGCTGGATACCTCAAGCTGCTCACACCCTGTGACATGCTAAGCACGAGGCGGAAAACGTTATAAGTTATACGCGCGGCCAGTATCACAGTGTACTGCAACAGCTCCGAGGCTGCAAAGCTGACACCTGGCCTTGATCACGACACCAGACCTCAAGTCGCAAGCTTTCAGCCTCCTGCGAAAGGCTGACTTCGAGGCAGGGGCCAGATCAGTCGCAGCCTCAGCCTGCGGGCATCTCACGCGCACAACGAGCTGCTTCCGCCTTATTTCCTTTCCCTTCCTAGCGTCTCTACTTTCTGGGGGAGTCACCTCAACTTGGGAGTCGCCCACGGAGACAAAAACGATCTCAGAGGACCGGGCGCTGCCTGGTCCAAGCCGACGCACACGCTATGGCCGCTATGGCAAACGCAAATCGCTCTCCCTTCAGGCTTCTCGCCTGCCAGCTGCTTCAAAGCCTGCACTTCGGCGTGAGGTATAACAAAGCCAGGCCAGCACGCGGCCTTGCGTGGTGAACAGGCCTGGCTCATGGCCTTCCGCTTGCACTGGACGTAAAGGTCCACTCCCGGCTCCTGCCATCGGCGGCTCTGGAGTCTGACATGTCTGACTGGGTGCCTTTTGTCTGCCCAGTCGTCCTGCGATGCTGACATCATTCGGTACTTGTCCAGCACCTGCAGAGGTGGTTTTTGAACAAAAAATCTTTTTGCTTGGCCATCGTTGGATTGCCGCCTCTCGCGCATACACGATCGGGATGTCCAGCTCGTGAAACAACTTCTCCCAGTTGACACCTCGCTTGCGCTCTCTCGTCTCGTTTTAGGCATGGAAGGCGCGCCACGGAACTTGGCTCCGTGCCGGGCATGTATCTCTTCGCTGAGACCTGGAGCCAGGGCCGCCTGACATGCGGTTGAACTCTCCGCAAAGATCCACCACAGCGTCCGGCTGCCACCAAGCGACGCAGCCAGGGTCACCTT